TAACGTACGTAACGTAACGTAACGTAACGTAAGTACGGACGGTACGGTAACGGTACGTACGTACGTAACGTACGAGACGACGAGAGAGAGAGAGAGAGAGAGAGGAGAGAGAGAGAGAGGGAGAGAGAGAGAGAGAGATTTTTCCTTCAGGAACTTGCACATCAATATCATAGGAAAAAAAACTGTTAATTTATACATATCACAAGAACCGGTTGTTAAATCCTTTGAAACATACATTTCTGGTTGACTACTAATTTCTTTTTCTCCGAACTCACCCTGACCGCAATAATGAATGGAATTTTGTTTGTAGGCTGTGATAATGCCAACTCTATGTTTCCTAAGGATAGTGGAGAAGAAAGCTACATTTTTGCAGGTGAGATCACACACACATGCTGCTCATGCAATAACCTATAAGCTAGGTAGACAAGGCCAAGCAAAAAATCTCAGAGAGCACTGGGAGAAAAAGGGGGGAAATTGATTTGGTGGAAGGGAAATTACATTTTCTGGAAAGGAACTTATTTTCATTCTTGAGTACTGTTTCAAAATTCCATTACCTTATTCTGATTTACATTTGCCAAAAGAAAATTTGGAAAAAAAATCATAGAAAATCTTGTAAAAACATAGCAAAGTAAGGAAATTTATAGCCTTAACAAATTTTTTTTTGGAAATTCTAATTTATTTTTGGTGAATATGCAGGTTGTGTTGTGCTTCACAATAATAGGAGTGGGTGTGGCTAGTGCAGCCCTTGGCACTTACTCCTCTGTATCAGAGATTGCCAGAAACTATTGATAAGCTATCCGCCGAGCCAAAGATCCCCCAAACATGTCTATGGATTGAACGATAAGACAGATGATGCTAACAAATTTTTCAATGGTAATTACCTCCCATTGTGTTAAAAAGGAGGCAGACATCCCGGTGCCCAATTTGAATTTGTTAATGAATTCTCATCACAAATCCTGTACTCTAGCTCAGTGCGATCAAAAAATCATAATGCGTAGTCATCTGTTCATAACAAATGTTTTGATGGAGGGCACATGGGTGGTATTTACCCTCATAGAGGCTAATTTAGGTAGGTTTAGGCAAGTGTTAGAGAACATGGTGCAGTTGTGACTGATGACTGCTAATTTTCTTTGGACTGCGATGCATAGCCGTGCTTATAGTAAAATGTAGAAAGAAAGACGTGAATATGTGTGTTGGAAGAGAGGGATCACTTGTCGTACGAGATGGTAAAGCCATCTTCCCTCTCCAAAATTTCTCTCTTCTATTGTTATCAGAATTGAGAATCCCAGATGGTGAATTTATGATGAAATTTTACTTTAAGATGTATACCTGTTTGCATCTGTTGTGTACATTCACTTCTTGTCGTCTGTCTCTCTCTCAAAAGAACTACTGGAGAGAAAATCACATTATTTTTTCATAAAAATTTTGGGTTATTCCACATTAAAAAATTGGATGGTATCCAATTATTTTTGGAACATTTTTTCTCAGATACGTAAGTGTGGGATTTAGTATTATTATTATTATTATATTTTCGACGATAGTCACTAGTCTTCAAAATATTCCACCTTTACCTGTGGGAGCGAACACATAGTATATAATATTTTAGAAGTATAAAAATCATTGCACTTCTAAAAAATAAAATATTCACCTTCTTCCATTAAAAAACTTTCCTTTCATTGTGATACTTGATTTTATGTTTTGCGTTTTGTTCGTTTTGGGGTAAGTTAGCTTTGGGATCTGATTCTCAGTTCCTGCAATTACCAAATCGAGCTTGGGTTTAAATGGTTGGTAGTTCACATCAAATAACCTTACCTTGCATCTCAAGTTTGATTCTTACCACCGGGCTATCTTTGTCATCGTCAAAGTTTTTTTTAACTAATCAGAGTTGGCTACACAATTTTTTTTAACTAATCGGAATTGGCAACACAATTTTGGTCGGTCATTATGTACTAAGGGCTATACCCGGCTATAGGTTCCCATATATTTTTTCAGTTTTAACGCACTACCAAAAAAAATTAGGTGGAATCTAAACAGAAACTTCAAGACCTTTGGATACCCAGCTCCATTATACCTGTGGCAGAACTGTCGGAGAGAGAGAGAGAAAGTTCCAATCTGGACCTCAAATTGCTGTACTTTTTAGCATTCTTCTAACCATCTATGAGTGAAACCTACATTTATGGAAAATAAAATCGAGGCAAGTTGGATTTGTGATATGTTAAAAGACTGCAATGACATTGGGTATACATGTTTTCAAGTAAAATCCTATCTCGGAATATTCTTAGACCCCAATCATGAGCGTGTAATCTTCGAGTTGGTCACTAACCTCAAAAATACAATAAAAATATATATGAAAAAATACAATAAAAATATATATGTATTTACATGTGCCAGAAAAAAATAAGATTTTGACAGAGGTGCTAATTTTTATTTTTTTATTTGGCTGTTACACCATTCAAAGTTTTAAAATCTTTTTAAATAAAACGATACAACTTTAAACAATCAAAATAAGACACCACCTCCAAATTTTATCATTTGAGATTAGGCTGGGCACTTAGTGGTAGTAGCGCTGATGCCTTCAATGAGATCTCAGATTTAACTCCCATTGGCTTATAAAAAAAAAACTCAAAATTTTATAATTTTGGTGTAAAATTTTTTTAAGATAGCATGAAAATCTATTTTTATATCTAATTATCAAATTTTGAACTCTAAAAATAGTTCAAATATATATAAACACATGAAAATCCTGAAAATAGACGGTTCAGATAATATGTTGCAAGATGCACTATATTCCGGACTCGAAATCTTATTCTTTTTCCTATCCATATTCTTTTTCAATGGGTTTTAGAAGTGCACCTTAATTCTATAGTTTAAGGTTGCAACCTTATATAAATTTTTCTAGTTTTAGATAAAAAAGGAGAGAAAAAAAATAAACATAAAAATAAAATGCTCCGGTCATCTCAACCTTGAGAATATGTATGGATGAAAAAAGGATCTTTAAGTATAAACAGTAGTTTAGGTACCATCCATTTTTCAAGGAGTTGCAGATATACTCAATCCACACTACGTTTAAAGTTCTATATTTTGTGATTGAGAGTATAAACATATCACCACCATTTTCAAGTTTTAAATTTCATAATTGAAAATAGAAAAACATTTTCAGAATATTGTAATGCATCTTCAAAATGTACACCTTGATTATTGGAAAAAGTTTATATGTAGTTGAACTTATAGAAGTATTTAATCACATAATTTATGCCGAATTCTATGAATTTAATACTGTTTTAAGGCGTGTTTAATAAGAGGACTTACTTTTCAGAACTTGCTAAAAACAAGCACCTTTATTCAAAAAAAAAAAATGTTACCTCTTTTGTGTTTAATAAAAAAAAAGCATTTTTATTTATTAAAAAAAAAAATTCCGTGAAAAACCACGGAACTTGAAAAAGGAAAGATTTGCCTCCGTGAAAACCCGTTGAAAAGGCCTCATTTTCCCGCTCGCTGCTCTCCTCTGCTCGTGCACAGGTACCCTCTCATGCCTCTCTCTCCTACGTTCTCTCTCATCCCCGACCTTCTCTATCTCTTCAAACTCCGACAAAATCCCAACTCAAAGGGCTTCTTCCATTTTTCTGTGCCCTAATTTTGAAGCCATGGATGATTTTGCAGAAGAGCCTAATCAGGGCTCGAGCTCCTTCATCCAAAGCGAAGTATTTGCTCAACTCAACTCAAGCCACTGTGCACTGAAACCCTAGGATTTCTTCAGAAACCTCACACTAATGGAGCTCCGCTTTTTTCGCTGATTGATTATGTCCGGAATGCTCCTCCTGATGATTTGCAGTCATGCTTTGAGTATGTTTACTGAATCTTAGCACTTCTGTCGTCGATGGATAGATCAGTTCTGCAAGAATATGTGAGAAATGAAGGCAAATTGTTAGGATTTATGCTTAACTGAATGTTTCTGTAACTGTGTTTGGCCAGTATAATATTTCGATATGACCCTGAGAGAATTTTGAGGCTGTTTGGTAGGTTTTGTGACTGAATTGAATATTTTGTCTTTGTGCCCCGATAAGTGGGATAATCCATTTGATCATGTAAAAACTTGAGGCAAATCATTAGTGTTTGCATCCAGATTCCATTTTTTTTTCCCATTTTGTAAGCAGGAACTTGGCACAAATAATTAGAAATTTTGTCTGAATTATGAAATACCCACTGCTCATAACAAGTCTGTGATACTGGTTATTTGTTTGTGGCATTTGTAGTGGAAATGCTTATTTTATCGGAAGGTCACCTAGTTCTCGTCTGCATTTCATTTGTGTCTCGAAGATTTCTGGAGCAAATTGTTTGGGTTTTGGCCTGGATTACATGCTCATTAGTTTTACATAATTTGTATCTGCTTCTATTGCTTGTTTTTCACTATTTAAGTATTGTCATTTGGATCTCTATTTTTTTAAAAAAAAAATTGTTAGTGTTTTCTGTCCGATGGTGAAACAATTTGTACTCCAGGGTGGAATATGAAAATTTTGCCTGAATCAAACTTTGGTCTGGAATGATACGACATTCATATCATGTTTCTGGCATCATGTGGGAATTGAAAATTGATAAATTTACCTTAGCATTTCCAATTTTGAAAAGACTGCTGATGCTTAAACCATCCTGCACCCCATCAGTTTTTTTAAAAAAAAGAGGAAAAGGGATCCAATTCTTCTGCTGCAAAAATATTTTGTTTAAAAATTTACCGAATGTGGTTTTTTTTTTGGGATTTTCTGCACAACTAGAGAAAATATGGAATTGGTACGTGGTAATTATCTGACTAGTTTTGATAAAAAAAGTGATTCTCTGATTTTAGGGCTGTCTTGGTCATTGTATGCTTTTCCAATTTTGGTTGGGGTGTGAAAGTTGGAATTTGTTGAAATACAATACTAAGATTCACAATACTGGTGTATTTCATTGCTTCTGGGGATTCACATGGAGAAGACTAGTTTACGCCTTGTGCTAAAACCCTTAAACATATCATATATTTCTAAAGTTAAATTTTTAAAGAAAAGCAGGTCTTGCCCATAAATGTATGACTATCATTCATGAGGGTACTGGAATGTGTGTTGATTAATTGACATATTGTATCTCGAATGCTAGTTTATGTATTTTGCTTACGCTATGAGAATCCTTGTAGCTTATATTGTTCACTGGCTTTCTTGGATCATGTATCTTGCGGTGGGACCTGTTTCGCTCTATATATATTGTAAATGCAAAAAAGTTTGTCTATTAAGTAGACGGATATTTCTGGTTACATTTTTATTGACTATTCTTTATCCAACTTTTTTTTTGTTGTAATGCTTATTTTTGAGCTTTAATGATGTGCTAGTTTTCCATTTTCAGCTATGTCCTATTTCCCTTACTGCTTCTCCTCGATGCCGCCATTTGTTGCAGTCATCTTCTAAAGGTGACCCAAATAGAAACATAGGAGTGCAATCAGTGATAGGGTGGCAGAAGGTGTGTTTTAGTGTTTGGAACAAGTTTTAAAGAAGTGCCTTTTGGTTTCTGTGAATCAGGTATCTCCCTTCGTAGTTCTATGACACTTGCGAATTTCGAATGTAGATACATGTCATTTTAACCCATAGGTGATGGTTATATCCCATAAGTTGTGGTCAATCTAACCAATCTATAGTAACATACCAAATGTGTGACAAGTAAAAGGCCTGGACCTCGCTTATGTTTGTTCTGTAAAGATTGTGATAAAGCTATGTTTTCTGGTATATTATACTCATCAAATGCGTCATCTATGACTAGTCCCAGTTGCAATGTTTGTGCTCCTAATGGATTAGGAAACTAGTGATTTGGAACACAATATTGAATTGAGGTCGTGCTTGACATTGTCTAGAGCCTGCTTCAATTTTGAGGTGCAATGAAGTTTATCATGCAATATTACTTTACTTTCAATTTATATTTTATCCCAAAAAATAAAATTCAAAAAATTAATAAAAAAAATAATTAATATCTAGGTCTCAATTTTAACATTTTACATCTTGCCTATTACTTCTGCAGCTAATCCAACACAGATACCCATAACTTCTTAGTCTTTCAGCATGTTATCGAACACAGGTACTTAGAACTTACTTAACATTCCAGGGGGTTATCAAACACAGAAACCCAGAACTTCTTTAACATTCCAGCAGATTATCAAACACAAAGACCCAGAGCTTCTTACAACAACTTCTTTCTTCTCAGCAAAGAGGAACTTCCAATTTACAGTTCATGAACTTGCTTCCAATTATCAAACAGGCCCTAAAATATAGAATTGAGATGCACTTTATAAATCCATCATAAAAGATTGTTTTCATATTGAAAAACCCTCTAATTGATCATCTTGATATCAAAATGTATAAATATAAATAAATAAAATATTTCAAGTCCAAAAAATAGTACACCTTGCAATATGTTATTTGGATCGTATATTTTCAAGATTTTCATGTGTTTTATAGATCTACTTAATTTGAATTATTTTTGAAGTTCAAAATTTTATAATTAAAGGTAAAATTAGATTCTCAAACTATCAAATTTACACACAAAAAATACATTTTATGATAAAATTTAGAGGTGAATCTTACTTTAATTGTCATAACCTTTTAATAATTTTTTTTTAGTATTAATAAGATCTATACCATGCTCCTACCAAAATGAGTGTTACTAACGTTATATCCGGATTGAGGATTTTGTAATGCCCCTTGATTTGGACGCCTTATTTAAACTACCCTTGCTACTTATTTCCAAATCTACCCTAAAACACAAGGTGGAGAGCAAGAAAAATCATTAAACTCTCTGAGAAAACCCAATTTCCAGTTCACTCTGAGCTTCCATCTGATTTCCAGTTCTCTCACTCAGTGACTGATCAAATGGCGAAATCCATCAGTTTTAGAGAGCCAAGTTCTTCTCCTCTTGGTTTATGGAGGCTTGAAAACAAGTGGACTGGTTATTGAAGTTTGAAATTTCTCCTTTATGAATTTTAGATTCATGTGATTTGGTAAGTTTGAAGAGTCTTCTCTCTCTAACTTGTTTACCCTGTGATCTCTATTTTTAAGAGAGAGAGAGAGAGTAACTCAATCTTGGGCATTAACTACTGTAGAAGAACTGAGGAGATGAACTCTACAATGTTCTAAGCATTTTTTGATTCCATTTCTAAGCATATTTCTCACGGCTTGGGTTCCTGACCTTGAAAGGCAGCTAAACTACCTCAAACCACAAAACAATTAAGTTTGTGAAAAGTGAATGCGGAAACAATTCCATTTGCCTCAATAAAAAGGTATAATCTTTCTCTTGACGACAACAGGCCTAGCAAAAAATGGGGGCAAATGGCAAGTCTCTGCATTTAGTTATATTACTCTGTTCATTTCATGGACTTTTCCCTTGTTTTTTCAAGTTTGCAAGAGAACAATATCAATAAGAAACTTCCGGTTCCAAAAAATTATTATTTTTTATATTTATTTTTAGCTCACTGATGATGGTAAATTGGTGGTAATGTGCAATGGGTATTTGACTCAATCTGTTGTTCTTAGACCTGTTTGGGCACACCAAATTTTGGCAACATGGCTAATTTTTCATACACCTGTCGAAGAGTATAGGTGTTCACCAAAATTTGGCAATATCGCTATTTCTTCATATGCTTCTCGAAGAATATGGTTGTTCCTGCTGTTTGGAAGCAATGCTTATTGCTTTCGAAGGTTCACAGATGAATTATAACCACAAAATAGAGAAAAAAAACAGAGCAAACATAAACGTCCCACAATGGAAGAAAATAAACAAAGAAATGGCGTCCTTTTTTTACATGAATAAACTATCTTAGAAGGGAAAAATGATAAGCCGAATCCAATGATCCACAGTGCAGAATATGGGGTTTTCTTGGACACTCAGTTTTATGTGAATTAGTGTGTATCAATGACATTTGGTCTATTGAAGTTTTTGGAGTTGATTCTATAAACATCATCTAACTTAGCTGTGGTTTACATTTTACTATGCCTTTATTGATTATAGTTGATGAATATGTAATGAATTTATTCATTTTTTCCTGATCATTTTTTGTGATTTAGTGTTTCTTGACCGAAAATTGCAGTCAAAGATTCATCAGAAATGTGGAATTAATTTACTGTAATGTCATTCTCTATAAATTGTCTACCCTCTCTGCTTTTTCTATCCACGTTAATATGAATTTTAAGGGGACCAATGCTCTGAATTAATCATCATTGTTTATTTCTGAAATGTAAACTACATCATACTTTCTCTGTAATTAGTGAAGCTTCTTTAAATGTGCCTCCATTCATGTGTTAGAAACCAGAAAAGCCATGGCCATTACATTCTCTTGCAAGTTCAAAGATACATGTATGATGTTGTACCCTGGCAGGAAATCCATAAATCTCGTGGATTGTTTATATGGTAAGGTAGAATTTTTCATTTCTTCTCTCATGGATGCTTCAGTTCCCTTTTGTTTTTACTGTAATTTGGTTCCTACCAATGATAAAAAGGGAAAAGGAAGATATTGGATTCTTACTTTTATGTGCCCATAAATTTTCTCGGTTTGTTTTTCTATTTGACCAACATTTTCTTTTAAATGAGAGCATGGGGTGATTAGTTTAGGTACTTGGTTAATTTTTAAGCTGGGGCTTGAGGTGAATGAGGAGGTATTTTAAATGTTTCGTCCCTTTTGACATTTCTTTTATTGCTATTATGATCATGGAAGTACGCTGGTTATATTCCTTTTTTCATTTATGTGTTGATTGATTTGCTAGTTGATGACTTGTCATATGGAGAAAGCATACTGTGCAGGTGTTTGATAAAAGGTACATTGCTAGGATGTGTAAATTATGTTCTTATTTATAGTCTGGAGATTAACTTTACATTGGGTGAATGTTCATCATTGAGAACTTAAGTTGATCTATACCTTTTGTCATCATGAACAAACAATGGATGTCTTGGTGCTGTGCCTTGAACAACACACTAATAGTGTATGATGTACTTTTCCTCTCATGTATGCTTTTCAGATCATAGTGAATTTGTTTGGATTTCTGTATATTTTCTATGCTATTCTTTGTCATATATTGATTTTCTTGATGATTTTTTAATTTCTTTCATGCTCAGGATGTCAATGCCAATTTTCCTTAGATGTAACGATCCAATTTTTTTTATAAAAACTGGAAAATAATAATAATAGTAATAATTTTAAAAGATACCAGTAATATATTGATAATTTTATGTTATTAATATAAATATTGATTAACAATAAATAATGTGATATTGTTGTTAAATAAGTTAATCCTAAAAAATTGTCGCACCTTTGTTAATATATCATTGCATAATAATTGAGGGTTTATCTTTATAAAATGGACATTCGGTCCACCTTCTTTTTCTCTTAGTTTTACCTCTCATTAAGTGGCCTGGCATCTAAGCAAGCTCATTTCATTTAAATTTGACACCTCCTTTATGAGGTGTTAGGTGTACTCTCTCTCTAAAACGCTCTTTCTCTCTCTAGGGCAAACTCTTAAGTTCTTTACTCAGTACTCCTTTAGAGCTCACTGTGGAAGCTTGAGGAGATTGTGTAAGGAGGAGTTGGGAGCACTATTTCTCATCAAGTAGGTGGATTTAGAAGCTATGTATTACTAATTTTATTCAAGCATGAGGTGTAGAAGAGTAGAATGTAGGAACATGTGTATGGATGTGCAAGAGTAAGCTTGAAATCTTGGAAATTAAGTGTTAGAATCCATGCTTGGTTAGCCTTTGTTAATTGTGAAAATGTTTGTCAAATCTTCCTGTGAATTTAGTTAAGTTGAAGAAGGTTTTGACTGAATATTAGACTTTGGCTTGAAAGACATTATTTATGCTTTAGTAGGTAGTAAAATTGGGGAATGAATTGGGAAGTCAAATTTCCAAGAATTGTGGGTGTTTTTGTATCGAATTGTTCAGTGGCCATGGACTCAAATCGGTCTTGAATGAAAGATATGCTTGTCTAATATAATTTTTTTTCTTGTACTATCTTGAAATTCTTCATATTTTAGGATTTACAGTCCATAGTGTGTGAATACGTCACTGTTGACAAACAACAAAAATTCCAGCCACTGTCACCTACTTTTTACCGAACTTTTTGCCAACCAATAAGTGTCCAAATACCTACAAATCACCGCCATTTGAACTGTATATGCGTTTACTATAATAGTCATGTTAAAACCATGCTTAAATTCTTCATGAATGAGAAGCTATACTCTCAATTATGTAAATAGGTCACTGTAGAGAGTTTTAATAAATTGCAGAATTGATGTTCCTATGTTCATGGATTTTAAACGACCAAATGATGCCCATTTTCTTCCAAACCACAGTCATTTTAAAGAGTTATGAGTAAGCTTGAAATTACATGTTGAGCACTTTTCGAAATTCTTCCTAATTTGAGAGTTGCACGATTAAATGCGAAGATATGTAACTGTGGGTAGCTATTATGGAAACTCAGAACTGATGTCATTGTTGCCACCAATTTTGACTGACCAAAAGAGATCCTTTTTCTTCTAAATCACCACCACTTGAAAGGTTTATGGGAACACTCAAAATTGCATGTAAAGACTTTTGTGAAAACCCCCTTATATTGAAAGCTACGCCCATTTTATGGGGATTAGGTCACTATTGACAGAACTTTCCAGAAATTGTGCATACTCAAGTATGAATGCTATTTAGTGAATGTTATATGATATTCAATTAGTGAATGTGAATGCTATGCAGTGAATGAAATGCTATTTAGTAAGTGTTATGTGATATTCAATTGGTGAATGTGAATGCTATGCAGCAAATACCATGAAAGGGATGTGAATGCTATTTAGTGAATGTTATGTGATATCTAAATAGTGAATGTGCATACTTATGTAACGAGTATCATGACATGAGTGTGAGTGTTAATTAGTGAGTGCCATGTAATATTCATGTGTTGAATTCCATATAATGCATGCTATGCAATGAAATTCTATGTGCTGACAATGTGAAAGGCTTGAGTGCTAAAGTGTGAATGCTAAGTGAAGAGTGATCTGAAGGCATGCTCCAAGCATGACCCTTTTTGTGATTGATAATATTGAAGTGATTCAGTGACGCCACGCACGGGTTACCCGTGGTGGTATGATGTGACTTGATAATAGAGTAAGGCCGGCAATGTTTGTTAAGTCCCTGTAGGATAGGAGGGGAATTAGGTGGAAAGTGTAATGGATGGGTCGCGCCCCCCGAAATTTAGTGTATTATAAGAAGTAAATAGTAAACCGTGCCTTGCAAGGCAAATTTCTGTCAAAGCCCCAAAGCATGCTGGGGACTGTGTGTGTAAGTGTGAGGGCATTATCGAATAGGACACTCATTGTCATTGTACTCTCGTCTGAGTGATGATAGAAGTCCTAAACAATGGGATTTGACTTGGCCGGATGAATAGGGCTTCTATTTCAGGAATAGGTGAATCTAAGGAGTGAGTGGTTAATGATTGGATGTGTGAATGTGAATGATGATAGTTATATTGATTATATGATAGTCATGATGTTCGATATGCCATTCGTGATGATTATATTGATAAGATTGTTAAATTGAATACGTTTTCCACTATGATTGCTTATTGTCAAAAGAATTATTCATGATGCCTGGATGGATATATCACTGATGCATAGCAACTAGATCCTCTTACTGGGCTTTATAGTTCATTCCTCTTTTTCCATCCCGGTAGAGTAGAAGCTGCAGATCAAGAATAGCCGGTAGGGTGATCGATACGGTTGACGAAGGCTCGTACTTGCCAAGGAGATTGTTTTTGCTTGTATGTGTTTAGTGGTTGTGGGCCATGTTTTTGTCTATATTGAAGTTAAATGTGGTGTACCTAGGCCTTCGATGCCTTGAACAATTATATTACTCCAAGTTGTTTATGTAATAATCTAAGTTTCAATTTTATTTTACTTAGATCTTGTGCATTTTTTTATAAAGTTTCTTTACTTTCTTTGTTTGCTTGGTTTACTGATTTATTAAAGCAACGCGCCACTCCGACTTGAGTAGCGTTCGCTACCTCTGAATCACGAACCCGTACTCTGCCACCCTCCGATGAGAAAGGTAGGGGCAGGGAGTGGGGTCGTGGCAGTTATGGTATCATAGCAGCCAGGATAGGAGCCTTGGCTTAGAGAGTTGTAGAAGTGTCTCTAGAATTGCTTTGGCTAGGTTGGTGACTGGGTGTTCCTGTTTTAGGTCGGAGATGCCGAGGACTCGGACCAATAATGCGAGCTCCAACAATGAGAATGCCGAGGCCCTCGGTGAAGTTTTCAAGATTTTGGGAGCCATGACCCAGACGATGAAGGAGAATATGTCGGCTTTGACTGCCTCTGAGCCAAGACTTTATGATAGTAGTTTTGTTGAGAAGTTTAAGAAGTTAGGGCCACCCACCTTTGCAGGACTTGATGGAGTAGAGAAAGTCGAGAGATGACTGATGCAGGTTGAGAAGATCTTTGAAGTCCTGCAATGCACTGAGGAACAGAAGGTTAGGCTGGGAACCTTCATGTTAGAAGGAGATGTTGAGCATTGGTGGGGCTCAGTGAAGCAATCATGGGAACGGTCAGGGACAAAAGTAAACTGGGACACTTTTCTGGAGGCCTTTAATGAGAAGTACTTCCCTGATTCTGTAAAGGAGAGGAAAGAAGTAGAGTTTATAGAATTGCAACAAGGGAAGTTAACAGTGGAGCAGTATGCGGCTAAGTTTTTAGAATTGTCTCGATATGCGCCGCATGTTATCAATATGGAGGCTCAAAAAGTAAATAAGTTTGAGAGGGGCCTTATGCTGGATATTCGAGGAAGAATAATGGCGGCCAATCTTAAGACTTTTTCCCCACTGGTGGATCTGGCCAGGAAAATAGAGAGAGATTGTGATGAATACCGACTGAGGAAGGAGCAGCACAAGACAAGGCCCACGCCTTCGAGAGATTTCCAAGAGAGAGGAGATCAGAGACATGACAACGCCCAGAGGACTTTTCAGGGCGATATTAGACAGAAGCAGCCAGTGCCATGTGGTTCTTGTGGGAAGCTCGGTCACGCGGCTCCCGAGTGCTGGCTAAGGACGAAGCCATGTTTTAAGTGTGGCAAACTGGGCCACTTGATCAGAATTGCCTCGTGATGGGAGCCGAGCCTAAGCCAAGGACTCAAGGCCGAGTGTTTGCACTTGTAAATCACGAGGCAAGGGGTTCCACCCCAGAGAACCAAAGTAAGCCCTTTGATTGTTATATGAGATGCTAGGATTCTGTTTGATCATGATTGCTTTTCTGTTATGTTATGGCATCATTTTGATAGTGTGATGTGATGTGGTATGATATGTGATATGAGGAGATATGCGATGATAAGTGATATGTGTTTGATTGCATTGCCATACTATGATATGAGATTTGATTAGTCTGCTTTGAGCGTATTACATGACCATAATTGATAACAGTTAGGTGCTTGCTTTGAGCATATTACAAGGCCTGATTTTGTGATTCTGTCGGCATGCTTTGAGAGTATTGCATTGCCCAACTTGTGATTGGCCTGCTTTGAGCGTATTGCATGGCCAATGATGTGTGATAGTTGGCATGCTTTGAGCATATTGCATGACCAATGATGTGTGACAGTCAGCATGCTTTGAGCGTATTGCATTGCTTGACTTGTGATATGAAATTTGATTGGCCTGCTTTGAGTGTATGGCATGGTCAATGATGTGTGACAGTCGGCATGCTTTGAGCGTATTGCATTGCCTGACATGTGATATGAAATTTGATTGGCCTGCTTTGAGTGTATTGCATGGCCAATGATGTGTGATAGTTGGCATGCTTTGAGCGTATTGCATGGCCAATGATGTGTGACAGTCGACATGCTTTGAGCGTATTGCATTGCCTGACTTGTGATATGAAATTTGATTAACCTGCTTTGAGTGTATTGCATGGTCAATGATGTGTGACAGTTGACATGCTTTGAGGGTATTGCATTGCCCGACTTGTGATATGAAATTTGATTGGCCGGCTTTGAGTGTATTGCATGGCCAATTATGTGTGATAGTTGGCATGCTTTGACCGTATTTGCATGGCCAATGATGTGTGACAGTGGGCATGCTTTAAGCGTATTGCATTGCCCGACTTGTGCTATGAAATTTGATTGGCCTGCTTTGAGTGTATTGCATGGTCAATGATGTGTGACAGTTGGCATGCTTTGAGCGAATTACATTGCCCTACTTGTGATATGAAATTTGATTGGCCTGCTTTGAGTGTATTGCATGATCAATGATGTGTGACAGTCGGCGTGCTTTGAGTGTATTGCATTGCCCGACTTGTGATATGAAATTTGATTGGCCTGCTTTGAGTGTATTGTGTGGTCAATGATGCGTGGCAGTCGGCATGCTTTGAGCATATTGCATTGCTCGACCTATAATATGAGATTTGATTGGCATACTTTGAGTGTATTGTATTGCTTAACTTGTGATTCATAGCTTAGTGTGTTAACCTATGATTGAATTCTGGGGGCGGGAACTCTTGGGTATCTGACTCAGATCTATGTCTTGTGTGTTTGTGTGTTAGAGTCGAATTTGATTCTTTTGGATGCTTAGGATTTTGGACACCCTTCTAGGCATAAGATGGTTGTGGGTGTGTGCTTGCCTCAGTAGGTTGTTTGGAGAGAAGTGCCATTGTTAAACCCCCATTTGTGTGATGATCAACTATACGATTTTGAGGACAAAATCCCTTTTTAGGGGGGGATGATGTAATAATCCAAACTTTTTTTTATAAAAACTGGAAAATAAAAATAAAAAATAAAAATAATAATAGTAATAATTCTAAAAGATACCAGTAATATATTGATAATTTTATATTATTAATATAAATATTGATTAACAATAAATAATGTGATATTATTGTTAAATAAGTTTGTCCTAAAAAATGGTCGCACCCTTGTTAATATATCATTGCATAATAATTGAGGGTTTATCTTTATAAAATGGACATTCTGTCCACCATCTTTTTCTCTTACTTTTACCTCTCATTAAGTGGCGTGGCATCTAAAGCAAGCCCATTTCATTTAAATTTGACACCTCCTTTATGAGGTGTTAGGTGTACTCTCTCCCTAAAACTCTCTCTCTCTCTCTCTCTCTAGGGCAAACTCTTAAGTTCTCTACCCACTACTCCGTTAGAGCTCGCTGTGGAAGCTTGAGGAGACTGTGTAAGGAGTTGGGAGAACTGTTTCTCATCAGGTAGGTGGATTTAGAAGCTATGTATTACTGATTTTATTCAAGCATGAGGTGTAGAAGAGTAGAATGTAGGAACATGTGTATGGATGTGCAAGAGTAGGCCTGAAGTCTTGGAAATTAAGTGTTAGAATCCATGCTTGGTTAGCCTATGTTAATTGTGAAAATGTTTGTCAAATCTTCCTGTGAATTTAGTTAAGTTGAAGAAGGTTTTGACTGAATATTAGACTTTGACTTGAAAGACATTATTTATGCTTTAGTAGGTAGTAAAATTGGGGAATGAATTGGGAAGTCAAATTTCCAAGATTTGTGGGTGTTTTTGTATCGAATTGTTTAGTGACCAAATGGTGGCAAAATGGACCCAAATCGGTCTTGAATGAAAGATATGTTTGTCTAATATAATTTTACTTCTTGTACTATCTTGAAATTCTTCATATTTTAGGATTTGCAGTCCATAATGTGTGAATGTCACTGTTGACAGACAACAGAAATTCCAGCCACGGTCACCTACTTTTTACTGAACTTTTTGCCAACCAATAAGTGTCCAAATACCTCCAAATCACCGCCATTTGAACCGTATATGCGTCTACTATAATGTTCATGAGAGATTTGTTCATATGATTCTTGAATGAAATGGAATTCCAAATTTTATTTGCGCCTTTGGGACTGCAATAATCTAACCTCCTTGAAGTTAAAGTGTATGCCAGAAGCCTTTTCATTGGAGGGTCAGCTAGTGTTATTTCCTCCAATCTTTGTTATGTAAATGTGACATTCCGATCCCAGTAAAATATTTGGAAAATGATAGATTTTATGAATTAATCACTTAATCATAGGAGCTACCGCTAATCTAGCGGCTAAGCGTAATCCAGAGCTCCTGAAGAAAGGTGATTACTTCTAATGTTAAAGTATGTGATTACACCACATTGTACTATGTGGCCAGGTGTTGAACTTGGGGTGTTTAATGAATTATTTAATTATTTTTGTTCACATCGAAACAAATCATTGGCCTAGCAAAGCAAGCATGGACCAGCTGAGTTTCTCTTTAAAATGGGCTTCTAAAATTCCTTTTGATGTGCAAGCCATTTAGTTTAACCCATTCTTAGTTGGTCAAAACTGTTGATCTGCATATTCTTTGCTTCTCAAAATATACCCGGATTGCCTCACTTTCTTGTTTGGGATCTTTTGGTTATATTGGCTCAGAAGTGCTTCTTGTCAGCCCATAAGTACTTTCACGTTTAATACATGGGCGTGTACATATAATACATGTCCATGCACATATATTTTTATAAGACGTGTATGATATGTGTGGGCCAACTCATGTAAGCGAATCTTTTCACTCTAGGGTAAATGTTCTAACTTATCAATTTTCATCCCCTGGGGAACTGCTTGCAAGTCCATGGACCTTTTTCTATTAATTTTATCCTTTTGGGATTATGTAATTTCAGTTAGGAATGATTACATTTCGATGTTTATTTGACTAAGTTGTTTGATTGCTGCGAATTTTAGTTGTGGTATGGTTTCCTGATGGAAGTGGGGTTTGATTAGATGTGTCTGTGCCATTGCTGACATTCAATTGCTTTTTTCTCTCTTTTATTTGCTTGGTTTTGATGTTTCTTTCCATAGCAAGAAAAATGTGTTTCAATCAGCAACTTCATGATTCAGCATCATGCACCCTCAATTTGTCTTGTGGACTAGAACTTCAAATCATGTTTTTCATAGAGAGTTCTGCAGCAGTATATTTAGACTGTGGTGTTATATTTTCTTCTTGTTGAATCATTAGTTTATGTTTTGGTATTTGTTCTAGTCTTTTGGTCATTAGGAGTTTAGTTGCATGGGCGTTAATTCTGTCTTCTAATCCGTTTGTAGTTTGAAGAGGCAGATAGTGCGGTGGGGGAATGCGCAGGTGGAGCAGGTTGGAAGAGGACCGACTCGTTGAATTAATACGCCTATGTGGAGGTGGACATTGCCAAAGACAATTGAAGCAAATCCATGCTTATTTACTTGTAAATGGACAATCCCAGAACAACTTCCTCCTCACTAAGCTCATACGCACCCTTGTATCAGCCAGGTGCTTAGGCTACGCGCACTCCATCCTCGACAGTGTTTCCAACCCAAATGCTTTCTTGTGGACTGCAATGATAAGAGCATACTCCCAAACACATGATCATGCACAGGCGGAACAAGCTCTTCTCCTATATACTCAAATGCAAAAACAAGCAACTCCACCCTTAACCTTCACATTGTCCTCCACCTTGAAGGCTTGTGCTAGATTGGCTTCCCTGCACACAGGCAAACATCTCCACACTCATGTCATAGTGCATGGTCTCCACTCAGACACATTTGTCCAGACCACTCTTGTTGACATGTACGCTGCATGCGGGAACACGGCTGATGCGCAACTCTTGTTTGATAGGATGTCTATCAAAGATATCCAAGCTTGGAATACAATGATCGCGGGGTATGTGAGGTCGGGTGACTTGACAAGTGCCCTTTCGTTGTTTCACCAAATGCCTGAGCAAAACGCCCATTCAAGGGTTGAGATTGTAATGGGGTATGCTAAGGTTGGGAACATGGAACCTGCTCGTCGCTTGTTTGAATCTTTGGCTCATAGAGATAGAAGTATCCTTCTTTACACTGCCATGATTGTGGGGAACGCCAAGTGTGGGGACATTAAAATTGCACGTTCCATGTTTGATGACATGGTGGAGAGAGATGTGCCCTCTTGGAATGCCATGATTGCTGTTTACGCTCAGAACGGGCGTAGTCATGAAGCCCTAGATCTCTTCCGCCTGATGTTACAAGAGGGAGGAGGGTACCAAAACCAATTAAGACCTAATCAGGCTACAATGGCAAGTGTAATCTCGGCTTGTGCACAGTCTGGAGCTCCTGGCCTCGCTAAATGGGTCGGCGATTTTTTAAGTAAGACTGGGATGCAGCTCGATGCCCGTGCAATGACTGCTCTCATAGACATGCATGCCAAATGTGGGAACCTAGATGAGGCTCAAAAGGTGTTTCGAGAATTAAAAGAGAGAGATGTGGTTTCATATAGTGCCATGATCTCGGGGTTTGCCATCCATGGGCGTGCCCTCGAAGCAATCCAGCTCTTCTCAGAGATGTTGTCACAAAGCTCTCTAGGGTTGAAGCCCGATGGTGTCAGCTTCATTGGTGTATTGACTGCATGCAGCCACGCGGGTTTGGTGGAGGATGGATATCGATATTTTGAGCTCATGTGCCAAGAGTATTCCATCCCACCAACCCCTGATCACTATACATGCATGGTCGACCTTCTTGGTCGAGCTGGACGCATAGAAGATGCATACAAGTTCATACAGAAAGGCATCACAGTGATGGGTGGAAAAATTGGGGACCATGCTGGTGTTTGGGGGGCCTTGCTTAGTGCATGTAGGTTGATGCATGATGTTAATAACAGTCATAATGATTATTTGGTACAAATTGCAGAGACTGCAGCATATCATCTTTTCGAATTGGAGTCAGAAAATGCGGCAAATTTTGTGATGCTCTCTGATATCTATGCAAAGGCGAAGAGGTGGGAGGAGGTGGGCAAGGTTCGGGAGATGATGAGGCGCAAAGGAATAAGAAAGGCACCAGGTTGTAGTTGGACAGAGTCAGAGGATGGTGTGGTTCACAAATTTACCACAGGGGATACTTCACACCCCCTTTCAAATGTTATACATGAATCGTTGGGGGAGCTCATGCAAGAGCTCAAGGACAAGGAGGGGTTTGTGCCCAAAATTGAGTTGGTTTTGCATGATGTGAGTGATCTAGAGAAGGAGCAGCTCCTCATGTGCCATAGTGAGAAGCTGGCCATTGTTTTTGGGCTCATTACAAGTGATCATAATACCCCAATCCAAGTTATGAAGAATTTGCGGGTTTGCGAAGATTGCCATAGTGCCATTAAGAAAATATCCAAGATCAAGAGGCGTGAAATCCTTCTTCGGGACAATATTCGTTACCATCATTTCAAGGATGGTACTTGTTCATGTGGGGACTACTGGTGACTCCACAAAAGTGCTTGATATTTGCACCGGTGGTATTTTCTTGTCTGCTAGAGAGAGATCAAAAGTGACCCAGTCCTAGATGGAATGATTTGGACCCATCTCCAGTGTCATCCTACGATGGTTGGTGGAGATAATCTATGTCTTAATCAAAACTCAAATGTAATGATTCGGACCCCATCTCCGCTGTCAGACAAACTCAGATGGAATTTATGCATCATCTCTACCAGCCATCATAGGAATGGTTCCCAGTGAAATATTCTTACTTTTCAAATGTTTTTGAGCTCATGGGGTGAACCCAAAGCCTAGTGGTTTATTTTCTTATAGTTGGTGTCTCTTTAGAATTTTCATTTGTGCAGGAGACTCAGAGTGTCTGTTAGGGCTATGTAGTGGGCTTCCTCAACTACTCATCCGTCAGGAATCCTGAAGGATCAAGTAATGTATGCACAATCTTTAACTATTTCCTTTTCTAGAGTTTGTTATTTATCATTATTTCCTTCATTCGAGTTGTTATTCCACAAGTTTTTGTTGAGCACAGGATCTAGTTATGTATTTCTTTTGCAGTCTCTAATATGGGGACAACAAATCGTGCAAGTATTGGCCTATATACACTGCCAAAATTTGGGAATGTGCGGGTCAACTCCATTGGTTTTCTGCCTGGACAATTTACCTCGCTTCAACAAACTCAACCATCTCAAGATTATCCTTCTTTCTCTTGACTCATCAGTTTCTTGTGAGTGATAATGCCCTTGGTGAGTTCTAGTTTGTTGTTACATGTATCAAATTTACCAGTTTATTACTTTTTGGATGCCTCCCTATTTAGGACGTTGTGTTTTAGATCCCCAGTTTTTTGAGATTTGCTTTTTTTTTGTTGCATTCACAGGGTGTATTTTTGGAAACAGTTACCTTTGGATGAGCATGTGGACATCTACGAAATGCTTTTTTGCGAACTCAGGGCAGCTGGTGAAATAGTCAAAGATTCTGAATTAGTTTGACAGGTCACTCGAAAATACGGCAGCTCATTTTTCTTGCAAAGTTGTTTACAAAATGATTGCCCCTTCTTTGATGTTTAATACATGCCATTGTTATTTTGTTCTATGTAAACTCCACATCTTTGTCTTGACATCTTTGTTTTAGTAGGCTGGTTCTGAGACCGATGCTTTATTTATATGTTTCAAGCTATGCAAGTGCATTTCTTGGGCTTTTAACAGTAATATCATGTTTCCTTGTATATTTAAAATGGCTTAAGTGCCCTCAGATTGGTTGCTCAGTCATGCATTATGCCTGCTCTGCAACATTTTTTGTTTAATTCGGGCTTTGAGCATCTTCTTCTTTTTTAGAGTTTGAATCTAAAGGATGCTTTATTTGAGAGCCCAACTGTTGAAAGGCTTGGCCGATTCTACTATTGGCAATGCCAGTTTGACATGGACCACTATTCGTAGGCACCCCTTCTAGAATCAAACCCCACTTTCTTGCAAAATGCCACTAATGTCAGTGATATATGCCTAATTGATTCAGGTCCATAACTATGGGTTCCAATCACTGTTGGAAAAACCGGGCGATCTTACCGCTAACCTCCTTGGTGGTTTTGGTGATCAACCGGCATTTAAAAGAAAAAAAATTCATATATACATATATATATATATAAATTCTAAAAAACAAGGAATTTGATTTGTAATGTAATTTTTAATATTCTTTACATTACAAATTATTTTGGTCATTAATACTCACTTGTATATTTTCTCATCTTTTTCAGAAAATTTTAAAAATACCCTTAGACACAAATAGATTTGTTGAAATTTATTTTTTTCATTAATTTTCAACTTCATTTGTATGTGTTTTATTTTAATCATTCTTTATATGTTTTTTATATTTTAGTAGATTCTTTTTTGTATTTTTTTTATTTTTTAAACACTTTTTTGGCCACCAGGAACTTGCCTTGTTAGAGTGGTTGAATCGGCCGATTTACCGGTTAGGCCGGTTAAACCGCTTTCGGGCTCATGTTCGATTAACTGTTCCAGTTCGATTTTGCGAACACTGGTTTCAATGCATGAGAGCACTTGCCAATAAGGCCATGTTAATAAGTATTACACAAAAGAAATCAATTATAGGCACTAATACAATTAGATCAGCTATTCATAGACAAACTTGGGATGTGTGATCCCAAGTCAGATTCGTTCAGGATTATGGGATCCTTTTCTATGAGATCAATTACAGTCACTAATACAATTAGATCAGCTATTCATAGACAAACTTGGGATGTGTGATCCCAGGTCAGATCCGTTCAGGATTATGGGATCCTTTTCTATGAGATAGGAAAGAAACAAAAAACCTCTATATTGGTGTAGAATTAATATGGAATGATGAATGTCTATTTTCAATATTTTAAAAATCAATGATCTGGATTAAAACCAGTCGATTTAGAATCATAATCAATTGAGTCGATCCAGATCCAATAAAATATCAAGAATTGGCAAGTTCCTAATTGTTAGTAAATTCAATTTTCAATGTTTTATATAATAATCACCTATTGATTTTTAGATGATTCCTAAAATTTTAGAATGAAAAAATCATCCCAAATAGGTAGTCTAAGGGACTATATACTCTCAGGGGGGCATACCATCATGCCCAATTCTAAAATGTCACAAGAAGTTGCAAGCTTCATAAATTTTGAATTGATTTAGATGACATTAAATAATTTGAGCGTCAAATTGGGTTTTTATCGTCATATATTTATTCATCTATTTAGACGAATGAGATAAGGAAAATGAATTATTGACTGTGAAGTGAAATTAATGGACAACAAACACTCAGACAAGACCAGAGATAGGTCATCAAGATTTACATATTTTTTGTAAAATAATGAAAAACTATAATTCAATACCATTATTTTTTTGAAAAGCCTAAAAATTAGTTTTTTTAAAAAAATTGTAGTGATTTTTTGATAAATTTTAAAGGAGAATCCATCCAATCCAGCCAATTATCCAATCTAGAGTGTTGATCCATCAATCCAAACCGGTTTCCAAATGAACGATGCAGGTCACTTATGTGTTTTTTAAAACCTTGCCTATTTTCATCCAACGAGATCTATCAAAATGCACGTCAAAATAGTGTTTGCATCTAACATTTTACTCTTTTCTACACTATTCCAAGTCAAAAATCTTGTATGTTTTGAAATTAAATCAAACATATGGATAAAATGTAAAAATAGTGAAATGTAGGCGTATCTCGATAAATTTCAATTTCATATATATTGTTAGTGGCGGGTAAAGATGAAGTTCAGACATTCTATTAGGTAGGGGTGGCCATGGGTTAGATCGGTTCCCGGTCCGGTACCCAAACCCCAAGTCATTATATCCAGATCCGGACAACTAGACCCAATTGGACCTGACCCAAAAATGTATCTCAAATTGGAGCCCAAAAATATAATGTGGAACCTGGACCCAAACACGGACCATATCCAAATACTAGCTAGGTCCAAGATTTGGACTGGACCCGGATCCAACCTGCCGGGTCTAATTTTTGACCTATTTCCAGACTTGGGTTGAGTCCACTTGTCAAGTCCCGGATTAGGTCTACCCGTCGAGACCCGGGTTGGGTCTGGATCCATTGCCACCCCTACTATCAGGGCTTCCAAACGGGGCCACGGCATCGGTTCTTTCAACTACTATTGGATTTATATCTTCTACACCACCATATTAATTCCCTAAATCCACTTATTCTTGCACTTTAAATATTCACTAAAAAAATCACGGACGTGGGGAAAGCTGCAAAGCAATTTCCTAAGCACTACGCATGCTTCAAAGTCAAACCAATGAAACTCTCTTTCGACACTGTTTTCTAATTTTCTATTTTCTATATGAGGATTCCTACATACACAAAGCAACATAAATTCCAGCAGTGATGTACAAATATGTCATAAATTCGCAAATTGTTTACAATTTATCAAAATACAACTAACATTTGAACTATTACCCAACAAAAAAAAACTAACATTTGAACTAAGGATATATATAACGTTTTACTCTATGTGTATTTTGATAAATTTCAAAACTCATTTTAATGTGTCATTTGATTGGGTATCCAAAAGCACAATGGCAATGTGAAATTAGATAAAAAAGCATGGATAAGATGTTAAATAGCTCAAGTCCTAGATATAGTCCAATAAATTTTCCATACTTATATAATATAGTGATCTAATGATAGTACGTGCATCATCAATCGATTTAATTTTTATATGAAATATTTTAAAGACAAGGTGGCATTGAGTGGAGTTGATTTGTTTTATTAAAATGTTGCATCAAGCTTGATCTTTTATTTTTTTACTTTGAATTTTTTACTTTTTATTTTGTTGAAAGGACATCTTGTTGTACCTTGCTTTTCTCATATGGGCTATCACCTTACAATAGAGTCTCGCCAAAAAAAATTTTGAAAAAAAAATTGATCAAATATCCCATGAAATATGCACTATTTGCTATTTTACACGTTTGCAGTTTTTCCAAGTGCCGAGCTCATACTCTTGTGTCTTCTGATGTGGATTTTGAAACTAAATAAAACTATACAAATGTTTTTTTTGATAGATCAGTGGGGATTACATACCCCTATCCATTTTGGAGAGAATCAATTTTTTTGAAGTTGTTAGTGAGAACAGATGCCATAACGTTTGTTGGACAACACATAATATAAATATTGAAATTTATATAAATACGAATAAAGCCATTGGACGTTTTGCATAGTTCTGAATTGTATATTTTATGCATGTTTAGCGGTAATTATATTATTCTAATGTATCCCCTTGGGTTCTCGTCTCTCTCTCTCTAAATATCCTCCTCTTTCCCTCTTCTCAATAAACCTACGATGCTGCCTCTTTTCTTCCCTGTTAGGCCCATGTTCTCTTGTTTCTCTCCCAGAGTATAGCTTTCCGTGCTTCATTAAACAGAGAGAGATGGTAAGGATGGGAGGGGTTTCATGGGGGTGAGTGTGCTCAAAGTAGAAGCCAAATAAAACGACCAAAGAAAATCAAGTCATTTAAAAAATCTTGTGAATCGATCCCAAGTTGAAAGAAGAACAAATCATTCATTCCAGAGTCGATCAATTATTTAAAAAAATAATTGATCGTACCATAATACAATAAAGATAGAGTCCTATTCTATGTGTCAATCCCAGCAACAATACAATTTGCAGTAAGAGGAAAATCGATTGACTTTATAAATTGTGAGGGTTCAAGTCCCTCTATCCCCAATTAAAGAAAGGACTGGTTTACACTCTAATCATTCATTATCATTTTTTCATTAGCCTTGTTAAACTAAATTAGGTATGTTTTTTTTACTTAAACTTAATTGAATTTATATGTATTTTTTAATATAAATATTTCAAATCTCATTTACACCTATATCTTAATACTATTAGTATATTACTCTCCAGTTAGAATTAGATTTCTTACTTTATAAGTAATAAGTAATTTACTTTATAATAAATAATAATATAAAATAAATACAAATAACTTTATAATAATAACTTTGTTTTATTTTAACTTTGTTTTATATTAAAATGACTTGAATTTTGCGGGATCACGATAATTGACTCTTATTAAGATTTTAAAGGGTATGATTTTGTACAATCAAACAAGTCTCAAACCATTTCAATATCTTTAAAAATCAAGATTATTATAGATTCTATGATATGCCTAAATATCAGCCATCAAACATACCCTTAACTTAGGCTCCGGTGGTATTACCACCATGTTGTGTTTGTCAAAGTGGTACTACTTCCACGATGCCAGCCCCATTCTCAATCAAACTATACTGAATAATTAATCTCTCATGGGCATTTTGAAAAATAACGCCTCCTCGTGGTTTTCCTTTAAAATATAAAATAGCAGGGCCACTACGACATACACCAAGCCATGTATGCTCAAAGGTACACCAGAGGCTACTCAAAGACCAAGCGAACACATAGGGCTTCTTTGTTTTCTGTAAGTATTAGCTTTAGCAGTCGAACTTCCAAACTCACAGTTTTTAGAGGCCGTGAGTCCCACTCTTTTCATCCATTTTGGAACTTGTAGGTCCCAAAAATGGGTGAAAAATCGAAAGTCATGGACTCTATAACCCCATGGAGCCACAAGTTTGAAAGATCAGCTTCTAGACCCGAATCGAAAGCCATGGACTCCATAATGCCATGGAGCCTCAAGTTTGAAAGGTCTGCTTCTGGACCCAAAACTTACAACAAACAAACCAGCCCATTCTTCATGGTCCCCGTCCTTTTTATTTTTATTTTTTACGAGCTTTTATTGAATGAAGGCTTAACGGCATCAAATTATAAGGAGGAAAATCCCTTTTCTTTTTTTTTACAATGTTAAAGAGCTTTTATTGAATGAAAGCTTAAAGGCATCAAATTACAAAGAGGGAATTAAAGAATTGGAAATAAGCAAAGAAGGTAAGGAAACACCAAATTTTGCAAGATTATCAGTAACACCATTGGCTTTCCGGTAAATGTGAGAAAACGATATCCCAAGCCCCGGTGAAACACAAAGATCGTGAATTTTCAACCATAAGACATGAAGGGATCACATGATTCTTTGTTTTTTATTATACCATTTAATAACATTAAGGGTATCTCCTTCAATAATTATATCTCCCATAATCCTCTAATGGCAATGAGCTCTAGACCATGCAGGAGTGAGCAAATTTTAGCTTATTAGCCAAAGTGTTGTCACGAGGTCCCGCATAGAAAAAGAGAGGTCCTGCATAGGAAAGAGAACAGTCCTTTCACAGTTTTGAAGGAAGCTGCCCACGCCACACCAGAAAATCCATGATTGCTTAAAGAGCTCCCATCAATAACTCTAAATGGGGACGGTAGATGGGAGTGAAAGAAGCATTTAAAGTTCTTCACGATCCTAGTCTATGCAGGGGAATGCCCAACCCGTTGATGTACCACGTATCATTCACCACAGGTGCATGGAGTTCACTACTATAATAGTAAGGATCACGAAAGGGTATATTACTACAGTAGTGAGGATCATGAGAAGACCACCGATCCTTTATTCATCAAGCGTTCATGGTTATACCACTTTCTACTGCCATACTGGACGGTGATGCAGTGACATGTGCTTCTTTAACGAGAGGCTGACGGTGAAATTCCACTAAATAAAGAGGGTCTTGTGTATGGTGTACCTCCACACGAGCAATAGACTTACCTGAGGAGTTTTGAAGCACACGGTGAGATCATTGGGCATTGGGTCATTATTTTTTTGGTTCTTAGATGTGAAATCGGGTGGTTAATGATGACTGAGCTCAATGTTCATGAAAATATTTTTGAATTTTATGACATATCCTAAGCTGTTGATATAACTTGGGATGATTATAAACATCTTTATACAAAAAGTAAATGGTCTTGCAACGTGTTTTTCCTACCAGCTGTGAAACAAGTTTTGCTTTATGAGGTGGAATGTTGGGCGGTCAAAAAACAATATACCCATAAAATGAGTAGTGGATATGAGGATGTTGACATGAATAAGTGCCAAGACATAGAATTTGAAATAAATGAATTTGAAAAAATTCAGGTGTAGTAACAATAGACGATGCTACGAGAGAGAGTAGACTTAGGTAGGCTAGCTATGTGTAGTGTAGACTTTGTACAACATATGTTAGGAGGTGCGAGTTGGTTTTAGTGGAAGGTTAAAAAATAGCAAGGGGAAGGCTAAAAAAGAAATGGTTGGAAGTAATGAGAAAAAATATGGAGATTTATTGCCTCACCGAGGGTATGACCCCTTAAATAGAGCAGAATGGCAGACCATGATTCATGTAACGAGTTCAAATTAACTGGAAAAAGGCTTTGAAGATGATGATATACATATGGAACAATGTGATTCTATTTTTATATCATATTATATATATATTTTATGCCATTATATGCTATAAGGCCATTCACTTTTAGTACAAAGATGTAGGAATCACTCTTAGATATTGGATGAATATATGATAGATTAAAGTGTGTCACAACATTCGATAAATTTTAATTGGATTTTGTGTCTAGCCAATGATACATTTTCAACTGTCCAATTTCACATGCAATAGTTAAAATAATTGTTTTCTCTTTATACCAAAAGTAAATGAATTTATTATATATATTTTATTTTTTATTTATTTATTAATAGATCCTTTAATTTGACATCAAAATAGTCCTAGATTAGATATTAACAAAGAGAATATATATAAGATATGCTCCCATGGGAGCACGTAAGACGGAGGCATAAATATAATGCATGCGATGTATTTAAAAGTGTTTAGGGTGTAGGTGACCTTCTGGTAATTTTTTCAATCTAAAATTTCAAGGAACATAGAAAATTTAAATTTTGACTCTAGCTTTTAGATCCAACCCCTCATAAGAATTGAATGATCTTTGTTCAATATTGAGACATTGTTTTTTTTCAAGAAACATAGAAAATTTAAAATTTGACTTTTAGCTTTTAGATCTTACCCCTCAAAAGAATTGGATGATCTTTGTTCAATACGGAGACATTATTTTTTTTCAAGATGCATAGTATAATTTAGAAATTTAGTGATTTTTTTTATGGATGTTAAGTTAGTACATGGGTAAAAGACATTACATCCCGGTCTTGCAAGTCTAGGTTTTATTTTGGAGTAATGAGACAATATAATCCTTGGGGAGTACGAAGTCTTTTGGTCATAAATATAATGCACGCTACGCGTTTATGAGGGGGACTTAGGGTTTTGCATAACATCTGTACTCTCAGTTGAAGAGGCGCCGGTCCTGAGAGAGAGAGACAGGGAGAGGTGAGATGTGAGATGATATCTCCATTTTCTTATTTCTTAATCGCTAATTGTTGATATAGTTTGAGAAACCCTAATGTCTCCAATGTCTAAGCTTTATGATTTCTAAGTTGTAGATTACCTCTTTCATGGTTACGGCTCATGTTCTGGTTATTTGAGCTTTCTTTGCTGTTTTTTCTTTCTCTATCTTATTCTTGTTACTCATGCGGATTCTCTGGTGAATTTGATCTTGAAATCTCCATTTTTTTGTGTGGTCAGCCTAGCTTGAGAGAGAAATTTAGAGAGGCGCCACAATGAGGTACTTTGATTTAGAGTTTCTTTGTGTTATCGTTTGTTCTATTCAAAGCATCATTTTTCTGAGTATTTTCTGTATGTCTATTTGGAACATTGTTCCTTTTCACTCTTTTTCATTTTCCAGTTTTAGCATATACATGGATGTTGCATATAGATTATTACCTTTTTGGTATGCAAAATCTTTTTTTTTTTTTAATTTGCACTTGTCAATTTATTTGATCCTGCTTGCAGTATCAGTGGATTTTATGTAATATCTTGTGATGGATCACTTGTCTTGAGGTGCATATGTTGCCTTGGTTTTTCATTTGTCTTGCTAGCTGTTAGGGATTAGACTGGCTATTGTACACCCTGAGTTGTTCAGGGTGTTCATGAAGTAGTCCTCAGGGTTCAAGGTTTGGGGCTTAGGACTTAGTTTCCACCTCACCCGCCTTCCAGAGAGCTATAGCCACTGTGTATGTACCTTGACTGTTATAGATGTGTAGCAACCTGTTCGCTAGAGGAACTCAAAGCCAGTGGTAGGTGTTGGTTTCCCTTAGTTGTACACAAGGGTACTAGATGCCTTGATCAGATTCGTTGGATCTCTATGTTTTGTGATCGGATAGATGCATTGTCCGAATGTGTTGCACTTCGGTCGGAGTGTAAATGAAGAAGTGGATGATGGTGATCTGTGTTTGAATAAGTTTTGGTTTCTCATTACCTTCTTTTAGTAATCTCATAAGGTAGTTAAGAGGGATGACCATGGAAGCTTTTGAGGAAATATAACAGGAAGATTAATATTAGTCCATCATTTATTTAGAGGAAGCAGCATTTGAAAAAGTGGATCGGTGGTCTGGATCGGCCATCTCGAAAATTGGTTTGGATTGGAGGATCCATAGTACAAATATATTGGTCGGTTTTGGTTGATCCGGGCTCTTACAAATTTCAAAAAATTGTTACAATTTCTTAAAAATCTAGGTTCTTAGGTTCCCATAAAAATAGGGTATTGCATTATGGATTTTTATTATTTTACCAAAAGTATTAAACAAATGGTGTTAGCACACCAAAATATTATAAAGAAATCCCAAAAAGGGAGTAAAGAACTATAATATTTTATGGGAGAGAGTGTGTATATTTTAGGAGAGAATGTGTGTGTGAGAGAGAGCTGGAGTCGATCTCGTATTATGGAACTCACATAGTATGTAGAAATGAAAAATTCATATATATATATATATATATATATATATATATATATAGTAGAGAGAGAGAGAGAGAGAGAGAGAGAGAGAGAGAGAGAGAGAGAGAGAGAGAGAGTACGTAGTACGTAGTAGTAGTAGTAGTAGTAGTAGTAGTAGTAGTAGTAGTAGTAGTAGTATAGTAGTAAGTTAGTAAGTAGTAGT